CAGAAAAAAAAAAAGAGTCGGGGGGGGGGGAGGGAATGTGGCTCAGTGGTAGAGCGCTTGCCTAGCATGCATGAAGCCCTGGGTTCAATACCTCAGTACCATATACACAGAAAAGGCCAGAGGTGGTACTGTGGCTCAAGTGGTAGAGTGCTAGCCTTGAGCAAAAAGCAGCTGAGACAGTGCCCAGACCCTGACATCAGTCCTCAGGACTGGAGAAAAAAAAAAAAAAAAAAAGATTCTCAGGCCCAGTATTGGAGGCTCACACCTATAATCCTAGCTCTCAGGAGGCCAAGATCTGAGGGTTGAGGTTTAAAGCCAGCCCTAGCAGGAAAGGCCCCAGGAGACTCTCAGATGCTCATTTCCAATTAACCGCTCAAAAACTGGAAGTGGTGCTGTGGCTCAGAGTGGTAGAGTGATAGTCTTGAGCAAAAGAGCTCAGGGGCAGCGCCTGGGCCTTGAGTTCAAGCCTAATGACTGACCAAAAAAAAAAAAATCTTTTGGACTTTCCTGCCCAGGCTGGCTTTGAACCATGATCCCCAGACCTCAGCTTCCTGTGAGATTCTTATCTGCAATTCCCCAGCAAGAAGCCAAAAGGGGTGGTAGCTCAAGTGGTAGAATACAAATCTTGAGTGAAAAAAGCTAACGGATATTGCCCAGGCTGAGTTCAAGCTCCAGTACTGCACCAACCAAAAGAAGAAGGAGAAGGAGGAGGAGAAAGAGGACAAAGAGGAAGAAGAGGAGAAGGAGGAAGGGGAGGGGGAGGAGAAAGGGGGAAGAGAAGGGAGGAGGAGGAGGAGGAAAGAAAGAAAGAAAAACAACTTTGGGTCTCAGTTTCCTCATCTGGTAAGATGAAGATATCCTGTTTGTGGGCAGACTGGGAGACTAGATGCCAAGGGCATTGTCCCTAGGTAACACTTGGGAGGTTGAGGGAGGGGACACAGCAGGCTCAAGGCCACATGTCAGGTCAGGGACCAGGTTCATTTCCTGGGGCCATCCAACCTGAGTTCTTTTCTCCTCACTCTGGCCTTGTCCAGGCCCCTTGAGGCTGTCTGGGAGAAATGAAGGGAAGGGAGGACTCCGCCCGGTGCCAGCCCCCCACTGGTAGTCAGGCTGCTTCCCAGAAGGACAGATGTTTTGCCAAATGGCAAAGGCACGTGCCTCCCCAGCTTGGGGAGGAGGTGGGCGCTGAGAAGGAGATGCCAGCTGGCTGGGCACAGAGAACCCGCAGCCATACCTGAGAGATTTAAATAACCACCGCCTTCCTGTGTGGCCAGCTGGAGGGGAGGCATCTGGACAGGGTGGGAGGGGGGCACAAAAACCCCGAGGATTAGCACAACCTCTTTTTCCCAGAGGGCATCTAGTCTCCCCTGGCCTCAGGTTCCATCACCTTTGTGTCTGGGGGGGACACCTGAAAGGAGGAGAGCATGCTGACCATCTGGGAGGTGCACAAAATTTGTGGGTTAGCTTTTTCACAAGAGCACTTAGCGTGGCTTTGAGTGCAGATGTAGGTATCAGGCTTCGCTCCTGTGTTATTTAGTTCATGCTGCTCACTTTCAAGTGCCCATGAACCTTGGTGTCTTTATTTTGGTGGTGGTATTGGTTACAGGGCTTGAACTCGTGGCCTTGGCGCTGTCCCTGAGCTCTTCAGCTCAAGGCTAGCATCTACCACTTTGAGCCACAGCACCACTTCTGGTTTTCTTTTCTTTATTTTTGAGTCCAGTCATAGGGCCTGAACTCTGGGCCTGGGC